GCAAAAAGAAGACGATCATATGGCCATATCAAATTAAATAAAACTTATAAAAACTCTTCACAATTAAGATAAAAACAATAAATTATAGCCAGGAAACAAAAAAAACTAACTTGATGATAATCACAATATCACCCTTTCAAGTTTCATGGATAACTCTAAATATCCTTTAATCACTACACATCGATCATTGTTCGAACCAACGAGATTGATCTTAGATTTGAACTCACCAGTGCTAGTCCAAGGAGGCAATCAAAATTTTCCACGACCTATCATAATAGCACCGTTCGATGTTCCGGGATCTCTCAACGAAAATCCTCTAAGCAATTCAATGTAAAGATATCGATGTGCAGAAGAATCCAAAGGAATCACAAGTTTTTTATTCAAACAAAGAGAACCGTTGAAACACTTCACGTATTGGGTATATTGTTCTTCAGTGTCGATCCATGCAATAACGCTATAGTATTCATAACCTTTGTAAGGTTGTGTAACGACTATTTCATCCATTGTGAAACCTTGAAAGATCTTCACTTTGTTGAAGCTTTTTTCCTTCAAGAATAATGTTTTTTCTAATTGTTTCTGGTTCTGAGTCCATCATTGAGAAAAGAGTAAATTATATTTCCTTTTTTCTCTTTGTGCATTAAATGGAGATGAATTTTTTTTTTCTTTTTTAATTCATACACCAATGACCAATCACACCCAATTGCAACCATTAAGCGAGACAAATTATTTTTAAGAGGTAGAAACGCAAGTGGACGCCGGCATATTCCCTTAAAAAAAAAAATATTGTCAATCGTAGTTATTTAAAATATCATATTAGCACTTTTCTTTTGGGAACAGATAGAGGTTTTAACACTCGTTTTGATAATCTGTTGTATCAAAATTCAAAACTAATGTTTCAGTATTTTTTGGCAAATTATCTGTTTTAATCAACCGTGAAATTTTGTTATGCTTTATTAGAACAAAATTATTCTATGATTTTTAAATCCTAATTAAAATCATAGTTAATATCTAATATAATATTTTAAGGTTTTTCAAAACCAAAGTTATGAGAGGCTGCCATGTGTCATTTAATTTTTTGACTTTTGGCTTTTTAATTTATTTATTAAAAAAATGAAAATTAAATTCTCTTAATAACTTTATCAATTAGTTATAACAATTTAATAGGTAATTCTTATGCAAAGTAATTCCAA